CACGGCACACGACACGTACACGACACACGACATGGAGAAGAAGGAGAAGGGCGAAACCGGTGAAGACGTGGGTGTGGCCGTTGGGCATGAGGAGGGTGGTGGTCTCGAGCGTGCTCACGAAGCACGCGCGGAAGATGGCCGCCAGCTTGGTGCGCCCGACCGACTCCAGGGCGTGCGCCACGCGCTCCACCTCGCGCTCCACCGCCGCCGGCACCAGGTCCGCCCTCGCCCCGCCATCGCCACCACCACTCGCAGCTTTGGTCTGGTTTCGGCGAAGAAGGCGCTCCTGCTGTCGCTGCAACAGGCCGGCGTGCAGCAGCGGCTTCAGCCTCCCAGCTTCGTCCTGCAACAGAGCGAAAGCTCCAGCGCCAGCTCCTCGAGTCGGCGCAGGCGTGGAGCCCGAGGCAACTTGATCAGCCGCGTCGGCCCCTATTTAAATATAAAGTATTCAAATTTTTTTGCTACACTATTTTGTGTTCCATTCTCATTATTTTATGTAGTATAGTAAATATAACGGAAAGCGCACCACTTCGTGTTCGCTGTGTCTTGAGAGTCGAAGAAGAGACGAGGGAGGTGGAGCCGCTGGAGGTTGGCAGGCCGCTGTGAAAAGAGGGAGTGGTGGCACCAAAGAGCAGGAGCAGCAGGCAGGTGTGGATGAAGGCCCCGATGGCCATACCCACCAGCACGCTGCCGCACCGCCCCCCGAGCCACCCAGGGGACGGCCTCGGCCTGTGCACCAGCGGGATCATGAGAGCCGTCCGACAGCTCTCCCCTCTCGTTTCCTCTACGCGTCAGCACAGAAGACCTCCTTGAAACGACGCCCCCACAATGCCAAGAATTATATTTTGCTAATTTTCCTAATTTGGTGAAAAGGAAAAATAAATATTTTATTTTTTACACAGAAATCTTTCGTGCGTCAGGGAGGCAGGAGTGAGTGGAGTGCGTGGGGTGGTGTTCGCCGTGACGGCGATGACTTCACGTCGTCGTCTGGTCTTCTTCTGGTCTTTAGCTTCTTCTTCTTCTTCGCGAGTAGAGCTTTGATCAGTGCGGAGTCGATGGAGCTGATGATGTGGGCGACGATGCGGCGGACGAGGGCGTCTTCTTCGATTTCTTCTTCGTCTTGGCCGACGGCGACGAGGGTGCGGACGCCGAGGCTTTCTCCCGGGCCGCGAGGAGGGCGGGCGACGAGAGCTGCACGAAGAGCTGCTGGGCCGAGGGCCGTGGCTTGTTGCGCACGTACTTGCCAAAGGCCTCCTCGTTCATGTCCTCCGTGAACTCGCCCTTCTCCAAAGCGATAATATTTCGTTCCTGCCATGCGTGTCGTGTCGTGTCGTGTCGTGTCGTGTCGTGTCGTGTCGTGTCGTGTCGTGTCGTGTCGTGTCGTGTCGTGTCGTGTCGTGTCGTGTCGTGTCGTGTGTGTGTGCGGTGAGTTTCGTGCGTCACAGGACAGAACCGCACGCGCGCGCGTATGCGTACCCAGGTCTCGGGTGAGCGATACTTGTTGAGCCAGGGCCGTGGGGAGTTGGCGCTCGACGACGGCTGGACCTCGGAGCGCGACGAGTGAACGATCACCGACGCCGCCGCGTCGTCCCCGTTCGCGCCCGGCGCCGCGGTGGCGTCGTAGTCGCCCGAGTGCAGCCGCTCGAGCATGACCTCGTCGCGAATCACCATCGTGCCGCTCCCCTCGTCGTCGTCGTTGTTGTAGTCGTCGTCGCTCACGGCGCTGCTGCCGCCGCTCAACGAGTGGATGCTGCCGCCCAGGTCGCCGCTGTGCACGATCACGGTGCCCATCACGCCCGAGCCCGAGTCGCTGCTGCTCCCGTCGTCGCCGTCGCCGCCGGCCGGCTGCTGCGTTCGGTCCCGGCTCTTCCGTCGTGTGCTCTTCCCGCGCGGCGTCTTGCGCCCGCTCTTGGCCGGCTCTCGCTCCGTCGTGGAAGGCGAGCTACTTCGCACGCGCACCTCTGACACACAAGCCACACGTGAGTCGCGCGAGCCGGCCAAATAAATAAATAAATAAATCATACAAAATCACAACAATATCAATAACAAAATAACAAAAACACTCGCCATAACAGTATTATATTTTATAAAATCGTAATATTATAATATTATTTTTAATAATGATAAAACAAAAAAGGGCCGAGATGGGTACCGTGGGACGAGGCTGAGGCGGTGGGCGAGCGCGGGGTGTGTTGGAAGTGGACCCAGTGGAGGGGGTCCTGGCTGGTGCAGGCCGTGCCGCACTCGCACTGCGGCCTGTTCTCGGCCTGGAGCAGCAGCTGCTCCTGATCCACGCTCGGTTCTTTGTCTTTGGCATGTTTGTGATTCTTTTTCGCTTCCTTCTTGTCCTTGCCCGACGGGGATGATGTGGCCGATGTCGAGGGAGATGAAGAAGCGGGGTCTCGCATGGTCCTGCTCAATTTGGATGATGGCGAATTGGAATTGCTGGAAATTCCATCTTTGACCGAGCCCAGGAGCGATGAGGTGGACGCCGAGGCCTCGTGGTACGACTGAAGGGTCTTGGCCTTATCCTTCCTCTCGCTCATCTCTCTTCTCTCGGCTGATCCCAATGAGATCAGTTCCGTGACAGCGATCGAGTGGTTTATTATTTTTATTATTATTAGTATTAATGAAAAACGTGGAAACCTCACAAGGCCAAATTGAAGCAACCATCGCAGCCCAACATTAAGTTTTAAGAGGGCGGTGGCGGTTCACCGTGTGAGCATGTAGCTTTCGTTTCTTTCCTTTCAGGCGATCGAGTTGAAGAAGGCGCACTGGGCCGTCTGGATCGGCGCGTTGTCAATGCGCCACGACGACGCGCACTCGATGAGAAGGTATGACCTTGACGCATGGCTGCCGTGGCCGTGGCCGTTGCCGTTGCCGTTGCCGGTGAGCCCGCGGGTGTAGGGCTTCCAGCCGTCGATCTTGGGGCTGCCCTTGGCCGCCAGCGACGACCAGAACGACTGGAGGAGCTCCACGAGCGGCATCTCGGCCGGCGCGGTCTCCGGGGTGAAGAGCGTGCAGTAGCCCGGCATCAGGCCCAGAATGGTGGGCACGCGGTTCATCAGGTCGCAGCCCAGGGCGTCGACCACCTTCTGCATGGTGTTGGTGATCCAGCTGACGGGCTCGAGCAGCTTGCCCGAATATAGCCGACGCCCGACTGGCTGATGGGGCGGTGGTAGAGGCCGTCGCTGGCGGGCGACACGGTGTGAATGGCCACCGAGATGGCGCCGGCCGACTGGCCGGTGCTGGTCACCGACCGCTGGTCGCCGCCGAACGCGCGGATGTTGTCGCGCACCCAGAGCAGGGCCTGGCGCTGGTCGTTGTAGTTGCCGATGGTGCCCGACTCGGCCTGGAACGCGGCGTGGCCCAGCAGGCCGACGATGCCCAGCCGGTACTGCGGCACCACCACGATGCACCTGGCCACCACCTCGGAATGCGCCGCCGTGCCAGAACACCACCTTTTCAGGAAAGAGTGAGTTACATAGCATACAACCCGGCACGACACGACAAGCACCACGTCGCGCTTGGCCCGGCGGTCGCGCTCGAACGAGAGGGGCACGTAGACGCTGGCGTAGAGGCAGTCCTCGGCCCACGCGCCGTTGTTCTGGGTCGGCTGCGGGCAGGCGAAGGGCGGCGCGGTCGCGTTGCGCACCCCCGACCACGGCTCGGCCGCCTGCGGAGGCGCGAAGCGGAGTTGGCCGACGGGCGGCGCGGCGAAGGGGACCGCGCGGAACTGGAACTCCGTACGGACACGCCGAGCTTGCCGAGCGGGGTGTTCACGACGACATCGTAGCCTGCGGCCCCGAAGTAGGCTTCGGTTGAGGCTTGTCCACCGACCACCAGGAGGAAGGGGAGCGCGACAGCCGCAAGCAGCCAGAAGCGAAGCGGAGGTGTGTGCATGTTGTAGTTCAGCTTGGTGCGAACAATGGACAGTGGCTTGTGTGTGAAACAATCGCCTGGTGATTCTGGCCGGCCAAACAACTTGTACACCGGTGCGGGTGACTCTTGAATTAGCCTTACAGGCTACTCTTAATCTTAGCTACTGTTCCTGATTGGTTGCAGCGGTGACGTCGTACAACGCTCTCGTTATTGGTGGAGATATTGTATTTTTATATCTCCACGGTTCTGAGATATAACAATGAATATAATTGCAATTTTTTTCACACTTTTGCCGACACAGATGATGGCTGGTGTTGTGGAGACGATTGCCTTTGGTCAGGTGCGGAAGGTTCAAAATCTCCCTGCACTATTAATCTCATTCACCTTCTACACCAGCACAACGTGCGAGCCAGCCAAATCTTCTTCCGGAGCTCTCTGTCCTACGGCCTGGTTAATCTCATGCCCCTCGTGCCAGGTACTTCGTCACTATTTATTTTATATATATTTCAGTGTGTATTATTTATTACATTTCCACAATAAATAAATAATTAAATGATTTAAACTCACGCTCTTCTTGCCGGGCAGGCCACGTCCTAGTGATCTCTCAGAGGAGAGGTACGTAATGTATTCCCTCGTGTCTGTCGGCTGCGGGCTGGTGATGGTTGACCCGCACTCGCCAGTGGCCAGATTCCGCGACCTCACACCTCCAGAGGTGAGCGACCTGTGGACCTCCGGTTCGGCCGCTTCTTCGCGCTCGCACCGCACGCGCACACACAACACATGCCGCACGACACGCGCGCCCAATTCGCTTTGGCCTGCGGCTGACGAGCTGCTTGGTGCAGCTCAACGGATCGGTGAGGTGGTGGAGCGACATTACAAGGGCGACGCCCTCACCATGGCCATCCAGGACGGCGCTGCCGCCGGCCAGACCGTCAGTACGCATGCGCGATTCCCCAGCTCAGCCCAGCCCATCTCACCGTGCTGGATTGATGTGTGTTGCGTTCCATTGTGTCGCACGCGTGTGCGTGTGCGTGTGCAGGCCACGTGCATATCCACGTGATCCCGCGAAGGAGAGGCGACTTTGCGCGTAACGATGAAGTGTACGAGCGGGTTCGTGTCTTCCTCTTCCTCTCGTCCAGGCGACTTGTTGTTGTTGGCGCTCTCGATCTCACCCTTCGCTACGTGTGCCTGCAGTTGGACATGGACAAGGACCGAACGAAGCGCACCGAGGAAGAGATGGCCGAAGAGGCCGCCCTCCTCGCGCGCTACTTCGACGATGGCAACAGCACTGACGGCGCCACTTCGCCATAGTCGCAAAATAAATAAATAAATAAATAGCAGCAAAATAAATTAACCATGCCAAAAGAAATGAGACAAAAAACCTCTATTGGTCTTATTTTATTGTTGTGTTGTTGCTTTTTGTTTACTGCTCGAGCTCCTTGCGGGCGAACTCGGGGAGGACGAAGGAGGCGCGGTGGACGTGCTCGTTGTAGTACCTGAGCTTGTCGGCGGGCAGGGTCCTGACGGGCTCCTTGGGCGACTGGTCGCGCTCCGAGAGGATGGCGAAGCCGATCTGACCGCACGGGTAGGTGGGGATGGTGGTGAAGGCATACTCGGCGTGCTTGAACATCTCCTTGGACTGGACCATCAGGCGCTTGATGATGTCCATGTGGAGCCACAGGCACTCGGCCTGGGTGGCGGCGATGCCACCCTCGCGGAGGGCCTTCTTGATGGACTGGTAGAAGGGCTTCTCAAAGAGGAACTCGGCCGGGCCGACGGGATCCGACGAGTCGACGATGATGACGTCAAAGTGCTTCTCGTGCTCATCCATGAACTTGACGCCGTCGCCGACGTGGACAGTCACGCGGGGATCGGTGTAGCCGATCGAGGTACCGGGCAGGTACTTCTTGGCGGCCTCGATCAC